CACCTCTCCAACCCAGTAGTATATACTTGTAATCCCCAAACTGGGAAGACAGAGATAAGCAGATCTCTGAGGCTCACTGGCTAGCCAGCTTAGCCTGATTGATGAGCTCTGGGTCCCAGTGAGAGACCGTGTCTCAAAGAACAAGGTGCAGCCAGAGAGACGGCTCAGCAGCTAAAGGCAGTGGCTGCCAAATCTGATGACCTGTTTTCAGCCTCTAGGACCCACAGACCGGAAGTCAAACAGCCATTTTCAAAGATTGTTCTCAGACCTCCACATGTGTGCTGTGGCACCGGCACTCACATACAGACAGACAGACCTATATATACACGTAAATAATTAAATTAACAACAACCAAAAAAGCAGGTGGATGGTACCTGAGTAAGACTGACCTCTGCCCCCGCCACAGAGACACACATAGACACGGACACAGGCACGCGCCCACACACACACAAAAGAAAGAAAAGGAAGGGAGGGAGGGAGGGAGGGAGGGAGGGAGGGAGGGAGGAAAAAAAGAAAACAAGGAAGGAAAAGAAAAGAAAAAAATGGACACTATATAATACACTGTTTGTAGATATTTGTATATGTGATAAAAACCTAGCACCTCGGAGAAGGAAGATGAACTCCAAGCCCCTCTGGAGGTCAGGGTAGGTTAAGTCCATGCATCTATGACAAACAGTGCCGGGCACTGTGGTGGTATTATGTTCCCCAAAATATTGTGCACCCTAATAAACTTATCTGGGCTCAGAGACAGAACAGCCACAATATTAAACATGAGGATAGGCAGTGGTGGCACACGCCTTTAATCCTAGCATTCCAGAGGCAGAAATCCATCTGTTCAAGGATACAGCCAAGCATGGTGACTCGTGCCTTTAATCCTAGAAATCGAGACTTTAATCCCAGGGAGTGGTGGTAGAAGGCAGAAAGGTATATAAGGCGTGAGGACCAGAAACTAGAAGCATTTTGGCTGGTTAAGCTTTCAGTCTTTCGAGCAGCACAGTTCAGCTGAGACCCATTCTGGATGAGGACTCAGAGGCTTCCAGTCTGAGGAAACAAGACCAACGGAGGATCCGGCGAGGTGATATAGCTGTGGCTTGTTCTGCTTCTCTGACCTTCCAGCATTCACCCCAATAACTGGCCTCAGGTTTTATTTTATTAATAAGACCGTTTAAGATTCGTGCTTCAGGGCACCATCGTGGATGGGATAACTATTTCTTGATTGTGTCCATATACACCCATGAGGGGTTGGCAGAGCTCTGTTCGATGCCTCCTCCCTCTGGGACTAGGTTGACTGGCAGCCACTAGCTGCCACAGCAGAGGGAAGGAGAGCTTAACAGGTTGCCCCATCTCTCTCAGCTTCACGTAAGCCAAGGAAAAATATGTGGCCAAACCCTTTTAGGGATCAGGCAAGAGTTATTCTGTTATGCACCCCAAATGAGAAGCAGCGATGGGGGTGATTATGGACAATTCCACCCAAATAATGATGGCCTCTGGGAAGAATAAAGAGGAATACTGGGGGTTCTCCACCTTAATTACCTTAATGTATTGCACATATTCTCTCTCTCTCTCTCTCTCTCAGTCGTGTGTGTGTGTGTGTGTGTGTGTGTGTGTGTGTGTGTGTGTTCTGTATGAGGGCAGTCATGATTATGCCATGGAACACATAGAGAGAGGTCAGAGGACAACCTCAGCTGTCTGTCTTCATTTTCTACCTTTGTTTGTTGGAAACAAGAGTCTTACTGTGTGGCCCTGGCTGTGCTGGAACTTGCTATGTAGACCAGGTTAGCCTTCAGCTCACAGAGATCTGCCTGCCTCTGTGTTGTGGCTTGAAAGATAAATGTTCCTCCATAGTCTCATGTGTTTGAACACTTGCTCTCCAGTTGGTGGCGCTGTTTGGGGAGACCAGAGATGTGTGGCTTTTGCTGGAGGAAGTATGTCACTCAGAGCAGGCTTTCAAAGCTTAAGGCCTCACACTACTCTGCTTGCGCTCTGCCTCCTGCCTACAGTTCAAGATGTGAGCTCTCAGCTTGCTGTTCTAGCCACTAAGGCTGCTGCCATGCCTCCCTGACAGGAGAGTGATGAACTCCAATCCCTCTGAAACCAGAACCCCAGATGAACTTTTCCTGCTCTAAGTTGCCTCGATCATGGTGTTGATCACAGTAGTAAAAAAAGAAACTAACAGACTCTGCTTCCCAAGTACTGGGATTCCAAGCATGTGCCAGCATGCCAGGCTTCCACTTTGCTTTGAGGCAAGATCTCTCCTGTTGACGGCTACATCTGCCAGGCTAGCTGTCCCAAGAGCTTTTTGTGATTCTCTTGTCTTGGCCTCTCATCATCAGGTAGGTATGCTGGGATTGCAAACATGGGGACGATCATGTCCTGATGTTACATGGGTTCTGGGGATCTGAATTCAGACTTGCACAAGTGCTTTACCTACAGGGCCAATTCCCCAGACCTGTAATTACCACTTTTTTTTTTTAGAGACAGAGTTTCTCTGTGTAGCTTTGCGCCTTTCCTGCAACTCACTTGGTAGCCCAGGCTGGCCTCGAACTCACAGAGATCCTCCTGCCTCTGCCTCCCAAGTGCTGGGATTAAAGGCGTGTGCCACCACCGCCCGGCCAATCATTTTTCTTTTATTATTTTTATCTTCTCTGTGTATGGGTGTTTTGCCTGCACATATGTCTGTGTACCACATGCATGCCTGATGCCCACAGAGACCAGAAGAGGGCATTATACACCCATTAACTAGAGTACTCTGGGGGGTTGTGAACTGCCCTGTGGGGCCTGGGAATCGAACCTGCGTCTTCTGGAAGAGCAGTCAATGCTCTTAACCACTTTTATTTTTATTTAAAGTATAAAGCAGGACTAGGGATGTAGCTCAGTGGTAGAGTGCTTGCCTAGCATGCTCAAGAGCCTCGGTTCCATCCCCAGCAGAAACAAAATGAAGCAATTGCTAGATTTCAACCCTGGCACAAATGGTTGAGATGTCTATTTAACATATCGAAGTAGGCCTGTCCACCAGGTTCTCCCTGCATCCCTCAGTCCCTACCTGTTACAGGCCCTCCTGGCTGACATACCCCACCCCCTACCCTGGACTCCCAGTCCAGGGGGCTGGGCTAATATTCCCTATATAATCCAACCATTTTGGTTACCCTCTCTTTGTATTTTGGGCCTCCTGGCTGCTATACCTGGCACCCCTCTCAGTTCTCTCCCTTCCCTTCTCCCTCTCCCCACATGGCCCGGCTCAGTCTGGACATGTCCACTCTGGATTCTCCCAGAGGTCCCTTCCTCTGGCTATGCTCTCCCATATACCTACAATAAACCTTCTCCACCACACCTAGGAGCAGTCATGTCCTTTCCTTTCCTTTCTTTCTTTTCTTTTTTCATTTAGCAATAATATTCCCTACCTACTAATTTGTAATTTTTCATATTGTGTCTTTCAGCCTTTTTTGTTTGTTTGTTTGTTTGTTTGTTTTTGGAGACAAGGTTTCTCTGTGTAGCCTTGGCTGTCCTGGAACTCACTCTGTAGACCAGGCTGGCCTCAAACTCACAGAGATCTGCTGCTACCTCTGCCACTTAAGTGCTGGGATTAAAGGTGCGTGGCTACCACAGCCCGGCTAAAAATGAGTAGTCCAAGCTGACCTCAAACTTCTGATCCTCCTGTCTCCTCTTCCTTCAGCAAATCCTACTGGTATGCACCACTACAACCATAGTCTCTTAGTCTTTTTTAAAATAGAAAACGTAACTCTAGAATAGTACTTCTCAACTTTCCTAATGCTGTGACCCTTTAATACAGTTCCTCATGTTGTGGTAAACTCCCAACCATCAAATTTCATTGCTACTTCATAACGGTAATTTTGCTGCTGGTATGAATTGTAGCGTGAATATCTGATGTGCAGGATATCTGATATGTGACCCCCTGTGAAAGGGTCATTCGACTTCCAAAGGGGTCTGGACCCACAGGTTGAGAACTGCTGTTCTGGAGGCGACTACATAGTTAGACTAGGAATTGCAAGCCTGTGTTCCTTCGTGGCCACGCTTTTCTGGTGGTGGTGGTAAGGAGAAGCACAAACCACCCCATTGTTTACGTGTTGCTCTTATCTTCCAGACCTCCAGAGTCTGCTGAGTGGCAGTCTTAGGGAGAGCTGTTCTCCTTTACTGCAGCCAGCATTCTCCTGAAGGGGGGGGGGGCTGTCTCACCTGTGTGTGCCCCGTTATGAGCCTGACACAAGGCTCATTTTTCCTTGTGTTTTGTTTTGTTTTGTTTTTTGAGACAGGGTTTCTCTGTGTAATAGTCCTGGCTGTCCTGGAACTCATGCTGTAGACCAGCCCGGCCTCAAACTCACTGAGATCCTCTGGCAAGTGCTGGGATTAAAGGCGTGTGCTACCACCTCCCAGCAAAGATGATTTTTTATGTATATTGGGATTTGGCCTGCATGTCTGTGTGAGGGTGTCAGATCCACTGGAACTGGAGTCACAGTCTGTGGTGCTGGGAATTGAACTCGGATCTTTTGGAAGAGCGGCCAGTGCTCTTAACCACTGAGCCATCTCTCCAGCCCCATCTCTGAGGCTTTCTCTGGAGCAAGGAATAAATGTTTGTTGAATGAACGAATGACTACAGCCTTCCACCTCTAGCCCTTCAACAGACAGAAAACATTTGGTCTTTTTTTTTTCCCCCATGATTGGCGCAGGACCAGATTTTCTGCATTGAAGAAATTTCTTTGTGACTATCTGCTACCACTAGCTATATTCTCGGCCCTAATCATGACCACTAAGGTGACAAATTATCCGAGTTTCCGAAAGTTCCTCAATGCCTGCACCTGAAGTCCCATGTCCTAGCATGGCTGGTCACCCCAGAGTGGCTCCTTCCTCTCTGAGACTCATTCTTTGTTCATCCCCATCTGAGGGGCTGGCTCTGTCCTCATCTCTGCATTTCAGACCTAAGGTTTCACAGACGGGCCAGAGGGCAAGTGTTACATCAGTGAAGGCAGCGAGAGTCAACTTGGAACTTTTAGAAAGGGTCTTTATTCTTTAGAGGACGGGGGTCGGTACTGCCAGCCAAGTCTCGGTTCTAGTTGTTTGCTATGGTCTGTAAAAAAAGGGAAAAAAAGAAAAGCAGGAGGTTGGATGAGGACAGAATACTTTGGTTAAGAGTGTAAACTTTGGCTCTCTCTGTACTTTCCCACCACGAAGTCCCTCTGTCTGTCTGTGTCTCTTTGGTTCTCTCTCTCTCTCTCTCACTCTCTCTCTCTCTCTCTCTCTTTCTCTTCCCAATAAAGCTCTACAGGGTAAAAAAAAAAAAAAAAGTATAAACTTTGGGCCTGGAGGGAACTGGGCTCAAGTAGGAATGGCCCAGCCTTGTCACTTGTTTGCTGTGTGTCCCTGGGAGAGTGACTTGACCACTCTGAGCCATGGTTTCCTCATCTCCATAGGAGAGGTAAAAGTATAAGTTGCCTCTTGGGTATTCTTCTTTTGTTTGTTTTGTTTTGTTTTTTTGAGACAGGGTTTCTCTGTGTAACAGCCCTGGCTGTCCTGAACTGGCTTTGTAGACCAGGCTGTCCTCAAACTCAACAGAGATCCACCTGCCTCTGCCTCCCGAATGCTGGTATTAAAGGTGTGAGCCACCACTGCCTGGCCTCATGGGTATTCTTAATTGAGCTTTTAACTGAGGGTTTTAAGCACAGTGAATGTATAAATCACAGCCAGTACTGCTATCAGGAAGAGCAGCCATTGTCTTGGACCACCTGTGTCCAGATGGTCTGCTCTGCACCCTGACTGAACCCAAGTACCCCCATCACGGTTCTCACCAACTTTTCCTTCTATTGTCCATTTTCCCATCTGCCTACCACCAAGTGGCCCATTGTTTGACGTAACTCTCTGTCCTCCATGACTAGGAAGGACCTGGGCCAGGGGGTCACTTCTCAATACCTGTTAGATTCTGGAAGTACAACCAAGTAAAACATCCCCAAGCTCTCTGGAATGTCCCCGAAGGTCCCTCCCTGGCCCCCATGAGCTTCAGGCCCTCTTCGGGGCCTGCAGATTCTCTTCCAGGTCCCTGGCAGGCTTCGGGCTCCCTTGTTGCCTCACCTCCTCGATCCAGTCATTGAAGGCTGAGACACGGGTGAACACCGTGGGCTTCTTTAGAGTGTTACAGCCCAAGCCAGAAACGAAGCTGGTCACACCATGGACCTGCCAGGTGCCGTTCTCAGTGGGGCAGTTGAGGGGTCCTCCAGAGTCACCCTGCAATGGTGAGAAAAGGTGTCTGAAGGATAAGGAGTGGGCTCTGAGCTTCATGACATCAAGAAACGTTCACACTGCTTCATTTCTCTGGACACCAGTTTGCAGAAGAACACCACTGTGTTCTGCAAGACCACAAAGCAGCAGTTCTCAACCTGTGGGTCGCACCCTCTTTGTTTCACAGGTGCCACATATCAGATATCCTGCATACCAGATATTTACCTTACAATCCATAACAGTAGTAACATTATAGTTGTGAGGCAGCAACAAAAATAACTTTATGGTTGGGGGTCACCACAACATGGAGCATTGTATTAAAGGGTTGCGGCATTAGGAAGGTTGAGAACCACTGACGACATAAGGGTTAATAAGACAATGCAAGGTGTCAGCACAGCGCCCAGCAGAGGCAGTTCTCCAAAAATGGTGCCCCTCGTAATCTCACCACATTCAATGTTTTGGGGGTTTTGTTTGGTTTTGATTGTTGGAGACACCGTGTAGCCCAGGCTGATCTTGAACTTGCAATCTGCCTCAGCCTCCCGAGTGCTAGCATTATCAGGCTGGGATGATAAGGACATGCATACCGGCAGCTCTACACAACGAGAGCATCCTGAATGTTTCCTTATCATTTCAAAGCCACAACTAATACAGGCTGGCAATGTAGCTTAGTTGATGAAGTGTTTGCTTAGCATGCATGAAGCTGTGGGGTCCGTCTCGACCACTGCATCAGCTGGACATAGTGGTAATGCCTGTAGGTCCACCACTCACAGGTGGGCACAGGAGCATCAGAAATTCAAGGTCATTCTTGGCCTCATAGTAAGTTTGAGGCACAGGCTGTGATACTCCAGAGTCTCAAAACAGTGATTGGGCCGGGCGGTGTTGGCACGCGCCTTTAATCCCAGCACTTGGGAAGCAGAGGCAGATGGATCTCTGTGAGTTTGAGGCCAGCCTGATTTTTAGAGTGAGTTCCAGGACAAGCAGGGCAACACAGAGAAACGCTGTCTCAACAAACAAAAAAACAAACAAACAAAAGCAATGACTGGCAGAGGCAGGCAGAGGCATATAACTGCTATGAGTTCAAGGCCAGCCTAGTCTACATAGTGAGCTCAGGTCCGTCAAGGCTGCATTGTGAGACCCTGTCTCAAAAAATCAGTGACAAAAAGGAGCAGAAAGGGACTGGGAATCCTGTCAAGCCAGGCGGGAGCTGGCTTGAATCCAGGCTCCTGATGCCCACCTCTGAACTAAGTTGAGTCCCTTTTCATCCCACCTGGCCTGGAGATTACACGAGGCAAACCAACCAGGTCTGTCCACCTCAGGGCAGATAGTGGAGGGACTTCGGGGCCCTGTACACATGCCACCCGGGCAGGTGTGAGTTGACTCACGTTGCAGCCAGATTGTTTATCCCCGCCAGCGCACACCATGGTCCTCTTCACGGAGAAACCCCACCAGTCCCACTTGGAGCAGTGTTCGTAGTCCACCACAGGTAGCAGGGCCTGCTGCAGTTTGTCAGGGAGAGGCCCGTTGGCTGGGGAGACAGAGGACACTGCCTGGGACACCTGCGAGTTACAGAGTGGGGAGCCTTCAAAGGCTCCATTAGCCTGCTAGGAACTGTGGGGTCTTGCTTGCTCTGTGTTCTGTGGCATCCTCAGTACTGGGCACATAGTGGACACCCCAAAAATGTTCCACTGAACATGTTTGTGTTTGGAGGGAATCAGGGAGAAGCTGGAGAGGAAGGCCGGGCATTACAAAGATGGTTCCTGCTGTGACCCTTCTGTCCCACTTGTCCCCGACACTTGTCTCTGTGGTCAGGTAGAAGGGTCAGCACGTACTGTAAAGACGGCCCCAGCCACTAATGTAGCAGGGATCTCCGTTGGGAAGGATGTCACCAGCAGGAGGGAGGCAGGCAAGCTGGACCTTGTCTCCCAGCTGAGCGCTTCTTGAGAGCTTGACCAGGGCGATGTCATTGCTGGGGGGAAGTGGGAGTCACATGAAACCTGGTCCTCCTGATGGACCCATAGCAATCACCTCCTTTGCTCCTTGCATTCCCAATCTATTTATTATTATTATTTTTTATTATGTACACAGTGTTCTGTCTACATATGTGCTTGCAGGTCAGAAGAGGGCACCAGATCTCATTATGGATGGTTGTGAGCCACCATGTGATTGCTGGAAATTGAACTCAGGACCTCTGGAAAAGGAGCTAGTGCTCTTAACCGCTGAGCCATCTCTCCAACCCCCTCCCAATCTATTTATTGATTGGTTTCTGTGGTGCTGGGGTTTGAACTCAAGGTCTTATATATACTAGTCAAGTGATGCACCACCCCAGGCCTTCCTAAGTCCATTTGTTTTGTTTTGCTTTGCTTTTGAGACAGGGTCTCACTATGTAGCCCTGGCTAGCCTATGTAGACTGGGATGGTCCATAACTCACAGAGATCCACCTATTTCAGTGGATGAGATTAAAGGTGCATGGTACCACACCTGGTTTCCAAATCCAAATCCATTCTTTTTTTTTTTTTTTTTTTTTTTTTTTTTTGGTTTTTCGAGACAGGGTTTCTCTGCGTAGCTTTGCGCCTTTCCTGGAGCTCACTTGGTAGCCCAGGCTGGCCTCGAACTCACAGAGATCCGCCTGGCTCTGCCTCCCAAGTGCTGGGATTAAAGGCGTGCGCCACCACCGCCTGGCATCCAAATCCATTCTTAAGGTGGAGCAGCTCTTGGAAGCCCTCGCCCACTTTAGCCCTGCTACCCTTGTCATCCATGGTTCCCGCGATCCAGCTGTGTCACCTGGAAGGTTCAGGGACACAGTGGCCCTCCTACCCCAGTGCATCCCAGTGCAGTGGTCTAGGTTGATGTCTGAGAGCCCACATTTCTGACAGGTTCTAGGGGATGCTGCTGCCGCCACCCTGGGTACCACACTGTAAGTACCACCATGCTTCATCTTGACTCTAGCTGCCCTTCAGGTCATTTCACTGGAGTCTGATATAGCTCTCTGCTCATTCTGGGATTCTAGCTAATGTAGGCTATTGTCTTAACCCACCACTGCTGTTACTGTCTTTGCAGCTACCCACAGTGGGAGCCACCCAGGCCCAGGCAACTGTCTCTGGGAGTGAGCTCTCAGTTTGCTTGGTGTCTTGTGAACTAGAGACCCTGTTATTATTCCTAGTCGTTTCTGGAGTCACATGACTACGAATTCGCTGTCAGCAGTCAGGCAAAATGCTTAGTCACCCCAGGGCCTTATTTCCTACGTAATCAATGTACAGCGTGGTCTTGTAATCTCTACGCAGCATGATCACATAATCTATGCGTAGGCCTGTGTACACATTCTCAAGGTGACCTATAAAAGCAGTCCCTACCTGCTCTCTCTCTCTCTCTCTCTCTCTCTCTCTCTCTCTCTCTCTCTCTCTCTCTCCCTCTCTCTCACTAGAGGTAGCGCACACCCCTCCCCCCTACCTTTCTTTTCGGTAGGCCTACCCACCTCTACCCTTTCCCTTCCCTAATAAAAACTCTTATAGTGGGTTCTGTTGTACCTCGTGTTTTCTCGCTCCCACTAAATAATGTCGCCAAATAAACAACAGCCCCCAACTCCAGGCCTGAGACTTCACTCACCCACAGCTCACACAATTGGCGTTCCACTTGGGGTGCACAAAGAGACCATCAGGGTTGACAGGGATCACCTGCTCTGGGCCCTCTTCCACGCCTCGATCATACTCGCCCAGTACCACCTGGTAGGTGAGGGAACTCCTGCAGAGGGGTGTGGAGGTCAGTTAGAGCCTATAGCCAACCTCCCCCCTCTCCCATTGTCCCAGCTGCCCGGGGACTCATGCAGGGACAATGGCTGGGGCAGGGACACAGGGTAGAACTTACGAGATGCAGTGGCCTGCGGTCATAACCCAGTCAGGAGCAATGAGGGTGCCACCACAGGTGTGGTGGAAGCTCCCTCCCTTCTCATACTGAAGGGAGACCTGGTGGCCAGGAAGGAAAGAGCTTGCTTGAGTGGCCTGGACCCAATACCATGGGACCCAAACCAGAGGTTCTGGACGTTGTGCACCGTACAGCTCTAGAAGGTGCTCTTCACACAAGGGAACAAATGGTGCCATCTGAAATACTCTGTCACTTTTCCACTAGGGTCCCATTTCAATTAGCCAAAGCCTCCCCACCACGGGCTTTATGAATCTCTGGGGTCCACAACACTCTTTGCCCTCTGCAGCATCCACAAACCTTGTGTTTCCTGACGGTTCCCCAAGACCCTCTGTCCCATCAGACCTCCCCGTCTTCTGAACCTTAGATCTTTCAAGGCCTCTTGAGTCTGCAGGAATATGCCTCACCTTGAGTCCTCTGCCTCCTCTTTTCTCTACGCTCTGACTCTCAAAAGCTCCTTCTACAGCTGTGCGTGGTGGGCTATACCTGTGATTCCTGCATCTCGAAGAAGTGGCAGAAAGATCAGTGGTTGGAGATGAGCTAGGGTTACATGAGACTGTCTCAAAAAATAGGCACAAAAGAGGGAGGGGCTAGAGAAGTGGATCTGTGTGTAGAGTACTTGCTTAGCATCCATGAAGCCCCAAGTTCCATCCCCAGACCTGTAGAAGTGGGGTGTGGTGGCACATGCCTATAACCCCACCACTCAGGAGGTGGAAACAGACAACGGGGAGGTCAAGAACATCCTTGGCTGTATATTGAGTTTGAGGACAGCCTGGGCTACATGAACCCTCTATTAAAAATGAACAACAACAAAACCTTCTTAACCAAAAATGAACTGACTATGATCTGCTTAGGTCTGGTCTATATATACATAAAGATGCCTATTTCCTCCTCATACTTGTCACTTGTGTGCTATCTGTGATATTTTTACACTCTGACATCCACAGTAAGTCTCCACTGTCACCAGCGTATGGCCAGCAAAGCTACAGGATTCATGCCCTGGTCCTTCATAGAATAAGCTGTGACCCTCTCTGTTCTCACCATCTTTGATGATGCAAATGTTCTTTTTGTTTGTTGTTTTGTTTGTTTTTCAAGACAGGGTTTCTCTGTGTAACCCTGGCTGTTCTGCAATTCACTTTGTAGACCAGGCTGACCTCAAACTCAAAGATCCACCTGCCTCTACCTCCAAAGTGCTGGGATTAAAGTATGTGCCACCCCTGCCCAGCCAATGCAAATGTCTTCTGCAGCAGGCTGGCCTCAGCTTCCTGTGGCTGTTGAGCACTGGAAATGAGGGGGCACTGAGGGACTAGATTTCTTTAGTTGTCTAATTTGTATTAATTGTGTAGGTTTTTAAAAATGTTTACTTATGTGCATGTGTGCATCTCTGTATGGTATATACCTTCAGACGCTAGAAGGCATTGGGTCCCCTAGAGATGGTGTTACAGGCAGTTATAAGCTGCCTGACTAGGATTTGAACTCAGGTCCTCTGGAATATCAGCAAGTTCTCTTTGCCACCGAGCTCTCTCTCCAGGCCCTGGTTTGGTTTTTGAGACAGGGTCTCCTATAGCCCAGGCTGGCCTCAAACTTGCTATGTAGCTGAAGCTGGCCTTGAAAGCCTGATCATTCTGCCTCTAGTGAGTGCTAGAATTACAGGCAAGTAGCCACTATGTCTGCCTTAATTTATATTAAACTTAAATAGCCACATGTGGCTTGCGGCTATGGTTAGACAGGGAGTCTTGCCCTCTGAGCTCTTCCCATGGACCTCTACGAAGTTCCTAACCCCTTTACAGCTCTCAGACCTTTGGCCCCTTTGTAGAACTCAAGGAATTTGAAGATAAAATCTTCCCTCTAAACACAGCCCTGGCAATTCCACTGTTATTGAGCCAACCCTTAAACATCACCCTTTCCCCAGATTCCACTTTCAAATTGCAGCTGTCCCAGCTGAGATTACAGATGGAGCAACCTCCAAGAGATGCCTCTGTTCAAGGGTTTCGGGCCATTTGAAGTCAAAGCAGGGCATAGAGAGGAAACGGGGGTCACAGCTGGCTGCCACGTCATCAGAACCCGCAGTGGATGGGCGGGCAGCGCTCTTACCTGCCAGGGCCAGCTGTAAGGAACAGCGTCCTCACCATTGACAACTCGGCTGGAGGGGCTGAAGGCAGGCTGGCCACAGCCTGAGGCTAGAGGGGACAACAGAGAAGCCAGTCAGCCAGAAGTGTCCTCAAAAGGAAAGAAGGGGGGTGGGGGTGGTGGTGCATGCCTTTAATTCCAGCACTTGGGAGGCAGAGGCAGGCAGAATTCTGTTAGTTTGAGGCCAGCCTGGTCCACATAGTGAATTCCAGGTCTACCAGAGCTACATAGAAAGTCCCTGTCTGAAAAAGAAAAAGGAGGAGGAGAAGAAAAGAAGGAGGAACGGGCTTTCTGAGCCCCTTCCCCTCTCTAGACTCCAGTAGCCATTTATGACCTAGCATTTATCACTCTCCAATAAATAATTAATAAAAAAAAAAAAGAAGGCCCAGCTAAAAGTGGCATGCTGACTCACACCTGTAATCCTTGTACTTGACAGACCGAGACAGGAGGATTGTCAGGAATTCAAGGAAAGGCAGGTTGAAGTATAGCATGAGACTTTCTCAAAGAAAAGAAAAGGTGATCGCTGTTGTTGCGTGGAGGTGACATGCGAGGCTGCCTGGGTACAAAGTGCGACTTGGCCACTTGCTCAGGATGAGCTACTTTATTCCTCCAACGCTCGGTCTCCGCACTGGCTCCACACTGTGATGAGTTCCATGAGGGCATATAAGAAGGAAAGCCTTCTGCAGCCCGCCTGACATAAAGCAAGCACCCAGTAAATGCCGTCAGTCAGCATTATGACCTGCCAGGGGAAGCTTTGTGGGCTCTTTAACAGAAGAACAGAAAATTCCAGTTCCGGCCATCAAACCACAGAGCCCAGACCTTAAACCAGGAGACTGTCCATCGTCCCCTCAAGGAGCCTTCCCTTTGGGCTCCCAGTCTTCTTTCTGACAAGCTGGTTCGTCCACAGCTTGTCCCCCACCCCGATTCCTGTCCCATAACCAAGCTGAAGCCCTTATAATCATGTCGCAGTTAAGCGGAGACCCTTTCCTGTAGAAGCAGGTATGGGGTGACACCCAGGGGGAACAGAGTGAGGGCCGTACTTCAAGGACTTCCAGGCTGATGCAGCGTGGGGACATGGGGACAAGCTGGGGACTTACCAAGGGCCACAAGCATGAGAGCACTCAGCAGCCGGAGCATGGTGAACTTCGGGGTGATGAGAAAGAAGGTGGAACTGGGCCTCTAATATAGTGCGGAGGCAGGTGGAGGGGACCGGGCCAGGCCCCACTCCCACAACAGGTGGCCCAAGGTCACATGCCAACCACGGCAGATCAAGGACCAGGAGCTGAGGGAAGGACTCCAGGCTTCCTCCAACCTGTGACTGCACAGGTGGCATCGACCAGGCAGCTGATAAGATGGGGACAGGCAAATGGATTCTGTCAGAGAGGCCAGCCTCTCCTGGGGAAGGCCAGAGCATGGCGGGTGGGCAGACCTGGGTTCCGATCCTGACTTTGTAACCCTGAATGCTTGGTTTAACTACTGTGAGTCCCAGATTTCTGGTCTCTAACATGAGATTAATATTTGTACCTACCTCGCCGGGTGGTGGTGGTGGCGGTGGCGGTGGCGGCGGCGGCGGCGGCGGCGGCGGCGGCCTTTAATCCCAGCACTCGGGAGGCAGAGGCAGGCGGATCTCTGTGAGTTCAAGGCCAGCCTGGTCTACAGAATGAGTTCCAGGACAACCAAGACTACACAAAGAAACCCTGTCTCAGAAAACAAAACAAAACAAACAAAAAAATTCATACCCACTTCAATAAAAAGACTGTTTGTTTGAGTACTTTCCTTAATATAGTAGGGATTTTCTTTTTCTTTCTTTCTTTTTTTTTCTTTTTCTTTTCTTTTTTTTTTTTTTTTCTTTTTGGTTTTTCGAGACAGGGTTTCTCTGTGTAGCTTTGCACCTTTTCCTGGAACTCACTTGGTAGCCCAGGCTGGCCTCGAACTCACAGAGATCCGCCTGCCTCGGTCTCCCGAGTGCTGGGATTAAAGGCGTGCGCCACCACCGCCCGGCATATTAGGCATTTTCTAGGGCTGTGAGCACAAACAGCAACAGTTCCATTCTGTCTAGTGGTGATGCAAAGATGAACCCACAAAAATTGTAAGAAGCTGTCTCCACTAGTGAGAGTGGGTGCTGTAGGAAAATGAAACATGGGTGCTTAGGAAGGAAGAAAGGAACTTGTTTGCCTGGAAGGTAGGACAAAGTGACATTTCAATATACGACTGAGTCCTGAAGCCAGCCATGGATGGATGGGAAGCACTCAGCTTGGGCTTGGCTTGCCCAAGAAAAGGCGGTCCAGGGCAGCTGGAGCTTTTGATCAAAGTGAAACTGGGTGAGGCATCATGGTCTGTAACCCCAGCTGCTCCGAGGCTGAGGCAGGAGGATTATGAATTGGAGATCAACTAGAGCTGCATAGCCCTGTCTCAAAGCAAAAATAAAAGAGGGTTAGAGGTGCAGTGTGGCTGAGTGAGTCCATCCCTTTCATCCCTGTGAGGGAGAGGAGACAAAGAAGAGATGAGGAGAGGGAGAGTAGGAAGAGGGAAGGATGAAAGAGGAAGCAGGGGCTGGTGAGATGGCTCAGCTGGTAAAGGTGTCCATCAAGCCTGACGACCTGAGTTGATACCCAGGACTCCCATGGTGGAAGGAGAGACCCAGCTTCTGCAGGTGTCCTCTGGCCTCCACACATGTGCTGTGACGCATGCAGCCACCCTGCCATCCCCCACACGTGCAACAACAACGTAATTCAAAGCTTTAGAAAACAGGAGCGTGGTGAGGATGCTGCCGAAGAAGCTGAGGAGATGGATACCAGGCACCTTCCTCCAGCACTCTGCACTTCACCATAGAGGCAGGGTTTCTGGCCGAACCCAGAGCTTGTGATGTGGCTGGTTTAGACCCCTTCCTCTGCCTTCTGAGTGCTACACGGATCTTAAAAGGTCTTATTAATAAAAACAAACCCGGGTGTTGAGGTAGATTCTGAAAGATCAGAGAGGCAGAACAAGCCACAGCTGCCTCGCCTCGCCAATTCCTCAGCTGATCCTGTTTCCTCAGACTGGAGGCCTCTGAGTCCTCATCCAAATGAATCTCAGCTGAACTGCTGCTAAAAGCCTAAAAGCTTAACCAGGCCTAGTTCCTGTTCCTCACACCTTAAATACCTTTCTGCTTCCTGCCATCACTTCCTAGGATTAAAGGCATGAGTCACCATGCCTGGCTGTTTCCAGTGTGGCTTTGAACTCACAGAGATCCGGATGGACCTCTGGATCTCTGTCTCCAGAATGCTAGGATTAAAGGTGTGTGTGCCACCATTTTTCTGGCCTCTTTGTCTATCTAGAGGCTGTTCTGTTCTCTGACCCCAGATAAGTTCATTAAGGTGCACAATATATTGGGAACACAGTATCACCACATCTGAGTGCTGGGATTACAGGCAGGCCCAGGACTGCCCGGCTGCCATGCATATGCTTCCCACTTGTGAGGCCTTCTCTGTGTGACCATCTCCCCGGCTGCTTTTCTTTCTGCATTCCCCTCCAATCAGTGGGGATGGGATCCAGAGCCTCTGAATGTGAAGAAGCAATGCTACCACCAAGCCACGCACCAGCCCAGGCCAACATTTTTTGTCTGTTTTTGTTTTTCAAGACCAGGTTTCTCTGTGTAGCCCTGGCTGTCCTAAAACTCACTCTGTAGACCAGGCTGGCCTGGAACTCACAGAGATCCGCCTGCCTCTGCCTCCCAAGTGCCAGCCCATATTTTTGTTGTTGTTGTTTGTTTGTTTTGGTTTTTTGAGACAGGATTTCTCTGTGTAGCCCTGGCTACACTGGAACTCACTCCATAGACCAGGCTGGCCTCAAACTCAGAGATCTGCCTGCCTCTGCCTCTCAAGTGCAGGGATTAAAAGCATGTGCCACCACCCCTGGCTTAGGGCCAGCACTCTGTTAGGGTTCTATAACACGTCTGAATAAGGCAAGTCCTCCCGATCACTCATCAACCCTCCTGAGCATGTGTTCAGGCTCAGCGTGTCTGAAGTCTTCCTCTGGCTCCTACAAACAGAGGCCAAGGGAGGGGCAACACTTAGCTGCTCTAAGTGGACCCCTGATGGGAGAAGGTCTCCTGTGTGGCCAGGAGGGTTTTCTTTAAGTTTCTGGTGCCTCCTGTCTATCATGCCCACGTGATGCCTGCCACTCCAGGAGCCTGGGCTGTTGATCAACTGTGTACACAAAGACACAGCTGTGAAAATCCTTCAAACTAGGATAAAAATAGCTGTGCCCGCTCCCCCCCCCCCCCCAGCTTCCTGTGGGCCTGGACATATTTGCTCAGCTTAGATGCTCAGAGCCATTCCCCAGACCCTGCACTGGAGAAGAGAGGGGAAGAGATGGGGGTGGGGAGGTTTCCTATGGCAGAGGGCTGGAAACAAACCTGAGCGGGAGAGCCCAGAAGAGACTCAGGGAGGGAGGTCCTATGGCAGAGGGCTGGAAACAGACCTCTGTGTCCAACTCAGCTATCTGACAGATGGGACAGCAGCCCAGGGAAAAGCTAGGGCTCAGTCAAGGTCCCCACGTGTTCCTAGCCACATAGAAGCTAGCTCAAGGACACAGGAGTTGGAACCCTCCCCCAAGTTCACACAGAAGGCTCCCTGGCCCTTACCCACAGGCCTTGAGTAATGCTGCTCAAGGCATTTGGCTCCAGGGCCAGTGGGTCTCCAGAGATGGCCCCTCTGAGGTCAACTGTGCATTCCTACCTGGGCCAAGTGGATATTCTTCTCAAAGCCTTGGTAAAGATACTGTTAGCTGTGCTACTGATAAACCTCAGATATCCTGGTGTAACAGTATCAGGAGTCCACTCAAAGCCCCAAAGAGAGCCCCGAAGAGGAAGCTGCCCAAGGAGAATGGAGGGTACAATCCATGCCAGGCCTCAGACTGAAGTAAAGTGAGCCATTGCTTGAGTGGGATTGACAGACTAGCTGTAGGAGGGTGACTTAAGAACCAGGATTTGGGGCTGGGCTTGACCTTGTAAGTTTGTGACTCCAGCACTGCGGGTGGTGAGGCAGGAGGATTGCCACGAGTTTGAGGATGGCTTAGAACTACAACATAGTGAATTCCAGGTCAGCCTAAGATATGAGACCAGTGTTTGAGGGGAGTCCGTGGGAAGAGGAGCGAGCTGAAGATATAATTTAATTAGAACATTTGCTGAGTGTCTTTCTTAGCATGCATGAAGACCTGGGTTCAATTCCTGGCGTCATATGCTAGTTCATGTCTGTAATGCCAGTACCCAGGAGGTGGAAACAGGAAGATCAGGAGTTCAAGGTCATCTGCAACTACATAGAAAGTTACAACCTGATTTACAAAAAAAAGAAAGAAAGAAAGAAAAGAAAAAATGGCAGGTCTGGGGAAGGAAGGAGAATCAGTGAGTCTGGGGGGTGAGGGCACCTTGTTTCTAGTTTTCACTGCGTAGAAAGATCCACCAGGGCTGGAACTTTCAGGTATTCTTCTTCAAATCCTCAGTGCCTAGCACAGAACCCAGCACACACACACACAGTGTTCAACAGTATTTTCCCAAGGAGGGAAAAATGAATCAACAAAGCTAAGCGACCCTTCCATCTCTTCTTGCTGTCCTCTGAAAGTGCCCTTGACCTTGTTGTTCATAAGGAATGTGTGGAGGTCCTGTGTGTCCCAGCAAAGCCCGTGCCAGTGTGTGGATGGCGTCCTGAAGCACGGGTGCCAGAGATAAGGGGCTTGTTTAAAGTTTCAGAAGCTGAGTCCATTATCATCATGTCAGGGAGCTCGGCAGCAGGCCGGCAGACATGATGCTGGAGAAGTAGCTGAGATCTTGATCCCCAGGCAGAGAGGAGGCTGCATCTGTCATGGGCTTTTGAAACCCCAAAGCCCACTCCCAGAAATACACTTCCTCCAACAAGGCTGCACCTCCTAATCCTTCTAATCCTATCAAACCAAAGCATTTAGATAGAGGAGCCTATGGAGGACATTCTCATTCAAACCACCCCAGGGGCTGTCAGGATGGCTCAGTGATAAAGGCACTGGCTGCCTGCTACACCTGATGACCTGAGTTCGATCCCTAGCACCCACAGGTGGAAGGAGACAGACAACTCCCAAAAGTTGTCCTCTGATTTTCTCATGGGGGCTGTGCACATGTGCCTACA